GTTTTAACTTACATTAGATGTAACCCCTGGGGGAAACTGAGTCAAAGAGACACAGGGACTCTGAAAAATATCTTTGCTGCTTATTTTCTGTAATGGCTCTATAATTATTTCAGAGTTTAAAATTTTTACACACACACACAGAGACCTCTTTTACATGTGTCTGTTAAAAATCAAAGTGCTCATACAAGTGACCAACAGAAACACAGATCCAGCACAGCCCTCTCACCTGTTCCACGTATCCGTGACCCACATCCTTCCCTGACTCACAAAGGGATTACAGTAAGCAAAACTTCAGCCCTGATTTAAAACTCTCTGGCTCCACAATGAGAACTGCCAATCTTAAATAAACTGCACTGCCTCTGTTTGCCCTATACCCGCCCTTCCTTGTCCAGTAATCCATCCTCAAGTTCTGAGCAGCTGCAAGTGGCCCTAACAGCACACAATGGAACCCAAGTGATTTAAGGAGGCCTGAAAGTATCTGTTTCCTCCAGTGATTCATTTCTGTTTCATTAGAACAATTCACAAATGGCAAACAACTCTTTAAAATATTTGTACTCCCTGACCCAACAACTATCCACTAAGGAATCTGATCTTATAAATGCAAACTATTCTCAAGATAGACAAGACTACCCACTAGTGTCACAATGGAATACAGCTAATGCAAACAGCGACACATATTCTGATACCTGCACAGACTGGAAAGCTACCCAGTTGTTTAAATGATGCGCAACAAGTAACAGTAGCAGCACTAAACCCTAGTAACTTAAAAAATAAAATAAAAACCAAGAAAACAACAAGAAGCAAGATATAAAGCCTCTTGATTCCACATCTCCCACGCTGCCACTCATTTCCGTTCCCCTTGCACACACTGTCTGTACTTACTCAGAGTCTCCAGTTCCTAGTCTTCCATTCTCTCTCGTTCCTTTCAAGTTTCTGCCTGTACCTTCTATTAAAAATGCTCTTTATTACAAAAATTTATTACCGAATTGGTAATTTATTACCAAATCTGTTTTGACTCCATGGTGGTATTAGCCCTTCCTTTCTACTGATTAAAACTAAGAATTCCAAACATATTTTAAAAAACATTCATCAGAGCCTGAAAGTAGGCAAAGCAGACAGATGGTAGAAAGGGACCCAAACATGGAGAACCAACACACAAGAGTTTTGAGTTTCCGTGTCTTCTGTTTTTCTCAGTGATGTGCCCCAGCATCTCCCGCTCTTGGGTGAACTCTTGCCTGTGAATGCGGGTGTGCCTTCTGACTTGTTTCTAACCAACGGTGGTACAACGCATTCACTCTGTGCAGTGTGGGAGTTGCTGTTATAAGCCTAGTACCACAGCAGCCCTCCTGGGGGAGTCTCCCTCTCCCTTTGAAGAAGTAAGCTGCCAAGTTACGAGAAGCACATGACTCAGAAGGCAAGAAACAGAAAGTGACACTTAAGAGGTAGGAGAAGCCTGGAGTCAGCAGGCAACAGACAAACAGTAATCCACCCCAAAGCCGAAAGACGGTAAATCCAAAGTACATTCAACTAGTGAGAATGGAGTATGTCAGCCATGCTTCAGCTGATACTACATCCCAGGTAACACCTTGCAGTATTCTGATCTCTTCCCAAGCAGAAGGCTCAGCCAAGCCATGCCGAGACTTCCTGCCCACAGAAACTGAAGTAGTCTAAGTGTGTTATTCTATCCTAAGCTCCTACAGACCCACAGAAAAGTACCACACCTGGCTCCAACCAAGGAAGGGAGCTGCAAGAAATACGTGCAGCACAGCTGTGCAGGCAGCTACAACCCTGAGAAATCCTTATTTCTGACCAAACAACCAGAAAGTAAGTCCATGCTGGCCAGAGTATACAATGAGAAATCCTATGGGGGACAGAGCAGAGACTAGCCCTTACTTCTGCACGTGAATCTGCCTACAATCCAATTCAATCCAAGATTCATTATGTATGAAACTGATTCAACCAAAGAGACAAAGGCTTAGAGACCTGAACTGAGACATAAACCATCCCTCTAGCAGAGCTCAAATTAACCCCCATACAATTCATGCGTGTAACAGATTCATATCTACATGCTGAAGGGTAAGGAACTCAATTCAGACTTGAGCCACCATCCACAGAAGGCAATGCACACCTTAGGACCAGAACCTAACCAGGTTTTGTGATAATCACATTTTCCAGACAAGTATAACGGGATCCAAAGACTACATGCTACAGTAGCCCCAACATCAAAAATACAATCTGTAATCACTTGACATTAAAAAAAAAGAGAGAAAACAGGGAAAAGTGGCCAGTTCTCAACCTTAACGGTAACAGGTACCAACAGTCAAGTAACTTAGTTTCTGAAATTAAAGAGCTCACAGGATAAGCTCAATAGCAAAATGGAGATGATAGAAGAGTGACTTTCAAAAGAGAACAATTGAAACTATTCAATTTTTAAAATACAGAGAAAAATAGATCGGGGAAGAAATATAATCAGTGCTCACAGAGCTACAGTACAACATCAAAAGGGCAAAATATATATACAGATAACAATGTAAGTATACAGCAGTATCATGTTCACCTAACAGGACATATAAAACAAAAATATGCTAATATAAGAACAAAAACAAGGAAGAAAAATAGAAATATGTGACCAATTCTCAACAGAAAAGATAACAGATGCGAACAGTCAAGTAACCACAATACATTTATGTGTGCATGAGAGTATGGTTTTGAGATATGTGTGTATATATGTATGATATCGCACCTTTATCTATAAATATATTTGTGTAACTTTAAAGGTTTTTAATGTAATACTTAACTCTCAGTGCCACCTCAAATGATGAGGCAGGTGACCCTGCCTTCCCTGAAATTCTCCTCTACTCCAGTATGAACACACTGCATTCAGACAGCTTCTCGACTACACCTCCAGCAGCCCCTTCAGGGGCATCTTTGCTGGGCTTTGCCCATCTCACTGACCATAACAACAGGGTGCTTCAGATCTTCAGTACTGTCCGCTTCTTCTGCTACTCCAAGAAGTTCAATGATCTCATCCAATCGCATGACTGTCAATGCAACCTACAGGCTGACCCTTTCCAGATTCACACACCAGCGCAGATTTCTCTGCTAACTCCACAATCATGCACCCAGCTGCCTGCTGAACCCCTGAACTTCTCGCACCTCGCTCACACTTGCTAAATCCAGCCTTCCTCATCTCACAGAATAGGGACTATGTCCTTCCAACCATGCTCAGAAAAAATCCTTAAAGTCATCTCTTCGCTCTCGTACACACACATCTAATCAGGCAGGAAACACTGGCCCTGTACTCCATCGACCCTTTTTCTCCACTTCACTGCAAACTTCCCCAGGAAGTCACTACCACTGACCTCAATTATCTCAGCCACATCCAAAGAGTCTCCCTGCCCTCCTCCTGCCACTCTCTTACAGCCTGCTTTCAAGGCAGCCAGAGTTCTAAAACCACCACATTATACCGTCCTGTTCTCAAAAACCATACACAGCTTCCGAACTCAGAACACAAGCAAAAATCTACACTTCAGTTTGCAAGATTCTGCAGAATCTGACATCCTCCTCCTTCCCACAGCACCCCTTTCACTCCTTCCTCCTCTGACTCACTGGTCACCACTCCCCCCCCCCCCCCGCAGCAGATATGTTCCCACCACCCCAAGACCGTTGAGCTGGCTATGCTTCACTCTTTCTGCAGGAATAATCCTTCCCCTTAGAAACCTTTCTGAATGACTCCCTCAGCTTCCTCTGTCTTTGCTCAAACATCTCCCCAGTAAGATTTTCTCTAACCCTCCAGTCTACAACAGCAATGTCTATCAATACTGCCCAGCCCCAACCCTCTCTCCATCCATTCCTACTGACTTCATGTAAGTATATGCTTATTATCCTCTCCTAATGGAATGTAAAAAAGAAAGTTATGTCTGTTATGTGGATTTCTGTGTAATACGCAAACAGTGATGAAGGAAAAAACCACTTACTAATTACTACGTGCTATGCCCCCAGTAATCTAACTGCCTCACAGGGACTAGCCATACTCCTTACAATAACCCTATGACGCAGGTACTAATAATTAATGCCATTTTTCAAAAATAAGGCAAGAAGAAATTAAACATCCCCAAATCACACAATTAGAAGATAGCAAAGCTGGAACTATTATTATTCAGATGCTCTGATTCTCAACTCCATACTCTTAATCGTAAGGCTAGAAAAACCAAAACTCAATGAGCACTTGCTAAATAAATGAAAAATTGTGTATGCTTTAATCTCATTTTTAAAATGAGTATGGGTAGAGAGAATTTATAGCTACAAAAAGGACTAACAGAATACACAGAAAAGTGTTAACATTAGTGACTACGACTGAGAAGAGCCTGTGAGATGGTTCTCTCTCCATTGTTGATCTGTATTTCTAACTTTTCTACAGTGAGTTGTACTGCTTGGAGCTTATCACTGAAACATCCGACACAATTATACAAACTACACAGAACAAGGCACAATACATAAGCAATTATGAACAATTACAAACATAATTCAGTCCAACTTTGTAAAGAAGGAAAGTGAAAGAAGACAAGAGGAAAGAGATACGAGATAAGAAAGAGGAAACAGGAAAAAAGAAACAAACAAAAGAAGTTTTTTTAAATGAAAGATAAAAAACAAGTAGGTACATAAGTATGAAAGAGAAACTGGAGTCCTGCACATAGAAAGGTTAACAAAAGCATTCTAAGTTGCTAAGATGATAACTGATCTCGATTTGCTTTCTTTTCCATGTATTTCAAATAGGAATTATAAATGTTCAAAGCTCTTCACCTTAGTGTTCGTAGCTTTTTTCTAGAACTCCAATTTATTTTCTTCTGATACTAAATTAATCAATGAAAACTTAAATCTCTTCTCTACTTTAGGTAAATCTGAATAACTTCCCATAAAACTTAGATGTCCTGATCCTAGATTTAAAAGAGCTGTATTAACATGTTGAAAACATCAAATGAACTAATAAAAATGATTACCTCGACTTGTGCTTGTTGCCTTGCTAAAATTATGTTAAAAACATCTAAAGTCTTCTCCAGGTCCTACGAAACAGAGATACTTGTAAATAAGGGAAATAATCATTAGATTAAAGTTTTCTTATAAGATTTCTAGGCTTATCTAGTTCATTACCAAAACTTGTGATATAATCAAACTGGAACATATGCTAATCTTTGAAACCATTTAATTTTTACAGCAAGAAATTAAGTTTTCTAAGGAAGTATATCCCATTTAAACACCTTAAGAAAATAAGAACTTTTCTGTGAAACTTTAAAAATCACAGACAGCTTTACATGTACATGGCAACAAAAATATTGAGAAAAAGGATTTCTTTTAGGTAGTAGCCTTACTTCCTACACTTCCTACTTTCCATATTATTTCACAATTATCATACTAAAGGCATCATTGCAAAACACACAAAATATTAAGAATATAAAATTCTGCAAGTCAGTAAGTAAGCTAAAGTAGAAACTGAATTTCAGAATTTACAATGAAGTATGTAGGAAGTATTTAACATTTCCCAGATGACTTGTATTTTAGGTCCTTTATGTATTATCTTATGCAATTCTCACAACTTGTAAGACAGGCACTGTTTCTACTTCCTACCTCAGAATAACAGACTTAAGAAACTCGTGTCCAAGATCAGAACACTTCATAAGCCCTGAGCCCAAATTCAGCTGACTCTGATACCTATGCCAATTCTAATATATTATGCTAGTGATTGTTACGTATTTCACAATACCACAAATTCAACTTGTACTTCGCATTATCAATCAGTGGCAGAAAGAGTTCTATAATCCAGATCATATGACAAATTATGTATTCAGTATATTTTCTATCTGTTATAAGAACAAATAAACCTCTGTCCTACCCCAGACTAAAAGCTGTTTTAAAAAATAATGCCTTAAACTCTTTTTTAAAAAAGCCATGGTCACATAAATACGGAACTTTTAAGAGAAAAACATGTAAACAGAGCTAACCAATAAATACATAAAAATGCTATTACAAAACCCTAAACATCTACCAAAAGGGTTTACAGTAACATTATTTCATCTGTTCTCAGGACTGGGAAAAGATTTTATTAAAGAAAAAAAAATTGGGAAAAACATACTCTTAAATTTCCTATAAAATCCTCTCACAAGCTGTTCTAAAATTATATTTTAATTCAAATAAGTGAAGAATCAACATTAAAAGGTGATCAGACAATTAAGGGCTCTCACCACTGTGCACAAAGTATACCTGAATTTGTTTCTGGATTTCTTCCGAGAGTTTAGTCTGAGTTAGCTTATTCTTGTAAGCGATTTTATAACTCTTGAGTAACTCTCTATGCTTCTTTATGTTACACCATGACCACATCTGTGTACATCTTCTTATATGAACTTCAAGAACTGAATCAATGGCATACTTCCACCTGAAAATCAAAACTTTTTAATGCATATGCACATAAAACATTTAAGAGAAATCAAGGAAAATAGCTCTGACTTTTAGATATTGCACTGTTAAATATCTTGGAATAAAATTTCCACTGTAACAGTGTTCTGAATTATAGTTCTCTGGCTTAAATACATTCAGAATGAACACCCTCCAGGAAGAAGGTATGCCAAAGCAAATCAACTCTTTGGCACCCAGCAGACCACATATGCCCTGGTGGTCCTGTAAGATTACAGACCCTCTTGCCCTCACAGCTATCCCAGTTCAGCAAGTTCAGGAAGTAAATACATACAGATACATGTTTCAGAAGTTACCGCCACTGCTAAGCAACACATGATAGTATTCCAGCATGGTTACAATCTTAGGTCCCGGTAAATGACTACAGAGAAAGCAGGGTTTTTTAAATGCTGAAAATCTTAAATACTAAGTTAAAAAATTTGGAACTGTAGATGCAAGAAAAAAGAGGATGTGCTTACCAAAAAAGTACCACAACCATATAAAAGATGTCCCTCCTTGGCTTTTGGAGAGGAGGGGAAGACCCTATTTTTTTCTGAGTGGGTATACTACATTGCTTACAGGTCTCTTAATTTTGACATATTGTATAATTATGCTTCTCATAAAATAAAAAAAGCAAGCTCATACTTACCATTGCCTACAATTGGTATGAAGCGGTAAATTAGGTTTATATTTCCTATAACGTACATTTCTAACCATATAATCCAATGATTCCAAAAGGTCAATCATACTTAAGTACTATTAAAACAAAACAAAAAACCAGGTTCATTATATTACACATTTTCAATAAATGTCAAATTTTATTATATTTTTTACTCTAAGACTTCTTCTCTGAACTTCTTAACAACCTAGTTCTACTTATTTCTGAACTAGTTTATTTTTAAAACTATTTCCATGTCTGCTGGATCATAACTTCACTGGTAGCTATCTATGAGTTAATTTTCAAACTGCTCCAGGAAACCGCTATGCAACTAAACAGGATAAAACTAACCAACTAGCTTACCACCATCACAACAATGTGTGGATTTCAAACACTTCAACACTTCAAACGGCACGGCACGAGATATACACAGAGCGAACTCGAATGCAAGCAAGACCAAAGAAAAGGCAACTTCAGTTTGCTCCTTGCCAATTTTCTTAAAGCAATTCAACGGTTACGTACATTCATGTCTAGTGCAAACTTAAATGTATTTAAATTAAGAACATATCTGTATTTCAAAGACTGAAGGGGGAGAGAAAAGATGTAAAATATTTCTTTGAAATTTTTTATGATGACAAGTTGCAATGATAAGATTTTGGAAATATTAAGCTAAATAAAATAGGTTATTAAAGTTAATCTCATTTTTTTGCTTTGCTAATGTAGCTAACCAGAACATCTAACATTACAAAAGTGCTGTATAATAACTAGACAGTACTGGGCTAAACTCTCTTGGCCAAATCTCATACCTAAATCTGCAACTCAAATCAGTCATACAACTATACTTGGGAAACAAAAAGAAAAAAGCTGCCAAGACACTTATTTTACAAAATAGACAACACTTAACATGAAGGTCTAGTGTTAAAAACTAAGAAAGGAAAAACCACATTAAAATTTAAATAAATGAAAATATTATTCATTATAGTTTGATAAGATTCTGCAACATCTAAAGTCAGATAAATGAAAAAAAATTCTTCAGCTTGAAATTTTTTTTTCAGAAAAAGATTACTTGAAAAGTAAAATCTCCACAAAACAAACAAAGAGAACCAACAGATTTCACAAAAGAATCATCACAAAAGACAAAAGCGACCTAGATTCAAAACTACTAACGTGCCCTTGCATCTCACCTGGGGCTTGGTCAGCTCAATGGCAATATTCTGCACTTCTATGCTCCAATCTAATTTGGGAGTTTTGAGTTCTACTTCTGCATGAGGATTCATGTAGAGTTTTGCAGAGGCTGATATTGGCTGGAAAACTGACATCACATGAGAAGATATGAGTATGTTTATACACCCTTACATATGAACAACTTAAATAATCTGAGAGCACTATTATTTTAGAAGTAAAATGATCGAAAATAAAATAAAATCACTCCCAAAAACATGTAAAGTAGCTGTTCATCTTCACCCTGCCAATAAATGTTTGTATACACACTGAAGTCCTGTACTCCTAGGTAAGAAATGTACATAACACAGTCTACCTTTGGCTACTCAGTCTGTATAAAATTAAGTTTCTTTACCCTTGCACAAAGCATTTAATACACTTATTATTCACTAAATATACTAATAAAATGAAATAAAATACAATTAATTTTCCTTAATCATTGCTAAAATTTAGGAACAGAATCATGAATAAAATTAAATACCTAAAAGACACCACTACTTTATGATTTTTAAAATACTCATGACACATGTACTATTACAATGAAATAAATAATGTAATTTGGAGGCTGAAAAAAATGTGTATTAGCAAAGATGATAGCTCAAAGCAAGGTGATAAGCTTTGTGAATATAATTTCAACTGTTACAACACTTTATGATGCTCGTAAAATTATGAAAAGTGTTAACTTAGCTACAAGATATAGATGAGCCCAAAGAATGAAGCTGTAGTGTTTTTGTATTCGTTTATCCATCAATGAAACTAAATGCTATTGCAGACACAGCTGCAGCACAGTGGCTGCCCTGAGTTTGATTCCCAGTAACAAACCCACCTCCATCCCTGCAAAAAAACTAAAGGCTTTCACAAACAGCGCTTGAAAACTACCATCACTAAGGAGAGGAGTATGAGTAGGATAGAAAGTGACAACCATCATCCAACAGCAAGAGAACAGGAAGAAGACAACAGAAGTAAACCAGTCGAATACACAATATGGAAGAACACAGGTACAAAAGCTGAGGACAGTTAGGGCCATAACTCAGCGGCTAAGTACCTGCCTGGTAAGCGAAGGTCTTAAAAGTTCAATTTAAAAAAAGCTGAGGACAATTACAAAGGGACACAATAAGCAAAAGCAAACCAATACCTTCTTTAGAATGAAACTGAAATAGAGAAAATATGGGAAAGACACCTTTCAAATAAAGGTGACATTGTCAAAAAACAGAAAAGCTCACTTTAAAAATATGGGCAGATTTATCTTGCAAGAATAGTGGCAGCACAGAGGAGGAATGCTTAATACCCAGGGGTCAGAGACTTGGTTATCTTTTATAAAGAAAGAAAAAGAAATGCTAAGTCCTAAAATGAGTACAATTACAAGGCATAAAGAAAACATGGAAGCCAAAGAAGGTTGGCTACAAGGAGCTGACGGCTTTTGGGCCCTCCTGCCTCCTTCTCCAGCAGATGCCTTTCGAGCTATTCCCAAGCAGCACAGCGCTCTAGCCATGAAATGAAGGCATAAAATGAGTGTGCTCTTCTTGTCCACATAACTTAATAAGAAAGTGCGGTAAAATATTCCACTACAACTTACTAGTACTTACTGTATTGATGGTTTGGAGGTCTCTGTCTACTTGGTAAGAATTTCATTTTTCAGTTGATCCTAAAGAAAGCATTTAAATTTTTTGAGACTAGAAAAGAAGCTGCAAACAGATTCAGCCACATATACGAGAAACAACTTGGTTATTACATCAATATTTTTATTCCTCTCTTTGTAACTAATTAGTCTATAGGAAAAACATGCTGAGTATCATTTACAGATATATTTCTCTAGCATACTAAAAATATAGAAAGTGGTAATTTTTAAAACACTAAATGTCTACATTGTAATATTATTTCCCCCTTTTTTTCTTTTTTGAAGTCAGGGTCTCACTATGTAGCTCAGGCTGGTCTTGTGCTCACTCTGTACCCGTAAGGTGGCCTCAAACTCAATGGTCCTCCTGCTCAGCCTCCCGAGTGCTGGGATTACAGGCATGTGGCATCACACTGCCCCTCTCTCTGACTTTAAAAAAACCCATATATATGTATACTCCTACAAATTTCTAGTCAAAGGTTAAGTTATTTACTGCCATGAACACCAGCATAAGAACATGTTTAAGTCCTACTTTTGGTCTTTTTAGTTGTATACCCAGACCACACATTAAGTCATTTTCATCACTTCGCCACCTTTTAAGGTACAACACATGTTTTTAGCCAGGCATGGTGATGCACACCTCTAATCTCAGCACTTGGGAGGCTGAGGAAGATCTCCGTTGAGGTCAAGCCCAGTCTAGACTACATAAGTAAGTTTAGAGCCAGGCTGTAGTAATACACACTGAGATTTTGTCTCAAACACACACACACACACACACACACACAAAGTACACACACAAAATACACACTACGATGCATTCTGACATGGAGTATATTCATGACATTATTGTTGCGGTAGAGATAATGAATATACTCATCATCCCAAGTTTCACTTCGTCCCTTTACAAGCCCCAGTTCCTCCCCACCACTGACTTCCAGGCAACCACGGATTTACTTTTTGTTCTACAGATCATTTGCAGTTCCTATGCTTTTTTTAAGAAGTACAGTATGGTTTCTTTTAGCCAGCGTAATTATTTTAACACTGGTCCTTATTATTGTATTAATAATTCTTGCCCTTTAACTGGATGTAGTATTAATCATCTAATAGACATTTGGGTTGTTTATAGTTCTTACTCTTAGAAGGTACCCTGAACATCTGTCTATGTTTCTGTGGATATAATTCTCTTCTCTTGTGGATAAATAGAGGACAAACACTCAGTGTAACATTAGCTACGAGAAACTGACAGACTGATTTACAAAATGATTTTACCAATTCGGCATTCTCACCAGCTTCGTATAAGAATTCCAGGAAATTATAACATTATCTCACTTTGGTTTTCACTTGTATTTCCCTACAGAATCAAGATGTTTATACATCTTTTCATGTGTTTGTGTGCCCTACAGAATTTCTTAGGTGATGAGTTGGTTGACATCTCTTTCCCTATTTTCTTGTCTTTGTTTACAATATTCATAATCATTGTCAAATAAAATATTACAATCTAAGAGTGCCATTAAAATGAGTATAAAAGCCCAAATGAAGTTTTTAAGTTTTATAGGTTCTTACATCACTATGTAGCGAACAATTTCACAAAACATTCAAATCAGAAACTATCTTGAAGGCATACAGATTTCAACACTGTTTTTCACACTTCCAATTCAGTGACATACAAGTTAAACAAAGGACTGTGCCCTGTCCTCATTGAGGGGCTCTGTCATACAACATAATTAGGGAGTGGAGGTGGCTCTTCCAAAATTACCAAGATCTGTTCTCGGGACCCCTGGTAGGACAGGCGGCAGTTCACATTCCAGTAAGCACTGAGACTATCCAGTCGGATTAGCTAGGAAAGAAAAGAAAAACTGTCAAGCAATGAACAAACACAAAAGATAAAGCAAACTATGGTAGAAGACTACGCTCATGTTCACAACCCTGAGATTAACCAACTGCCACTTTGAACTTTTAAAGAAAATAATGCAAAGTTAAAGGAAAATATGTTCACAGTCTCTATTATTAAGCTTAGTATTTGCTAAACTGTGTGCCCAAGAACACAATTTCCAAGATATTCATTCATTCAACTATCAAACTGACCTGAGTTTAGCAGTTAGCAGATCCAGGAAACATTCTGCTAGACACAGAAGAAATGACACCTCTGGCAGACACCAGTGACTGTCTCCAAGGGAGGGGAGGGTGGTGCCAGAGCATCTCTAACCAACACAGTGAGGACCGCTAACACTATGAACATTGCAGTAGGAGGTTCACTGCACTTATTAGCATATTAAAGTACCTTGAAGCCCTTAGCTTACAATAAAATGAAACACACCTGTTTAATTACAGCATGCTTGCTACTTAAAATTAGTAGCCTCACTTAACCAGAGAATACTTTTCCTACAAAACCTAACAGCATCTCTGACTTACATGAGATACTGTGGTGCGCTCCAGGCCTCCAGTTGGACTCATGGAGGGCACTGCCATGAACTCTAGGTCTTCAGCTAGGCTTGCGCAGCCAACTGAAGGTGCACACAGATAGCAGAGTTGCGGGATCAAGACACAGGATGGCAGAGTTGTTGAGCCAGGACGGCTTCTGCCTAGATTTCAGAGCAAAGCAAGTGTGCTCCTAAGAGGGCAGTGTATAAAAGGTTTGAGTGTAAAGCAAAAGCAGAGGGGGTCAAGAGAGAAGCCCTAGGTGCCACTACCATCAGAAGTGCCATGGGGCAGTCACCCAAGCCCTCTGGAGTTCACAACTTGCCACAGATTGCCTCCAAGGCTGGACATGGAACTACAGGAACTATAGGACTTAATGTTTGCCCTGCTGGATTCTGGACTTGCTTTGTCCCATTCCTTTATACCCTGCTTGTACATTTTGGAATGGAAATGCCTGTATTGTGCCATTGCATCCTGGAAGTTTAAGTCTCTTTTCATTCATACAAAGACTCACAGCTAACAGTTTGCCTTAGATCTTGAGACTTGGACTTTTCAGCAATGCTGGAACTGTTAGGACTTCAGCAACTCTTAGCAATGGACCAAATGTCTTTTGCATAAAGAGATGTACATGAGTCTTTGGGGGGCGAGGGGCAGAACGCTATGGTTTGTGTCTAGATGTTCCCCAAAGCCTTATACAGTCAGAAAGACTGGCTTTCCAGTGGTGACTGAATCTAGAGTTGTGATTGATTCATCGTCTCCTGTTGGGATGGGGGGTGTGAGTCTACACCCAGCCTAGGGTAGGCAGCCCACACACAATGTAAAAGAACAGAAGAGGCTTGCGCCTCTTTTGCTCATTTCTTTTGCTGTCTTCCACCACCATGAACGGTTGCCCCTTTCCCATACCACCCCAAGACTTAGAACCAGCTGATTATGGACTGAAACCTCCACAAACTGAGCTAATAAACCTTTACTTCCTTTAAAAAAATCTAATAGTATCTCAATTACCTAATGCTTCATAAAATACCATATTCTTCACCTTACAGACGAACAACCTAAGATTGAGAGTCACACAGTAAGAAGCAGAGCCAGAACTAGACTTTGGACTTTCAATTCACCCCAAGAGCACATTCTGCTCCACCATTTCAAGGAAAGACATTAAGTACTTGCACCTAGAAAACTAACAAAAGAATTTTTACTCTAATAATAATAATACAAAACCTTGTATATAATTTTTTCTGCTTCATTTAATATGCATGGAGTCCAATTCTCGTTTGTAGTCTAAAAGAAAAAGAATAACTATGAAATGTGGTATATGACAGTGTTTTAGTATCCTCAAGTAGAAACAAAATAACACATAAAGAAAACATACTTAGCTACTGTTGGCTAGTGTTACCTAATTCTTTATGTATCTGCATGGCAAAATCAAAGGAATTGTGAAACATAACTTGGGTTCACTCCTTTAGGAAATTACAGAGTTAATGTGTGAATGGAAGAAAGAATTGGGTATGAACAGAAACAAGAAAGCCTGCCTGTATTCTGTTGAAGAAGGCACACACTTTTAAAAGATAGTACTTTCTGTAACATAGAAAGCAAACCAGAAAAGCATGGGAATGACAGCAGGGCCATGTGCCCTGCAAGGACAGCATAGCCAACAATGCTGTTTGGACCCGATTTAACAGCCAGCACATTACTGATGACCTTGCTGAGGACAAGAAAGGGGGAAGGCACAGGTAGTAAATTCCAGAAAAGTGTGGTTGTATAAGAGAGAGAAGGCAGTAGTTTCAGGGCCTGAGAGGGACTGGGGACATTAAGGAGGGGCTTTTAGCTGTGTTATAAAGAGGAGCCATGCACATGTTTAAGTGTGTGGGCAGGAGGAGATGAAGATTTAGGAGAGGGAGACTGACGTAAAGCAGGAAGATGGGATGCTAGGGCAGGACACAGGTTTCTGAGGGTACGAGGCCTGAGTAGAGCGGGAGGAGGATGTTAGGTTGAAAGGTTAGACACACCCTAGTTTCCCTGTTCATTGATTAATTCCTGTCACTGGTTGTCCAGCTCTCTTTTTCACTGTTCTGCCTCACTCTTCCACTGCATGTACCTATATACCTGCACTTCCTGGTGTGTGCTTTTAGGACTGCTCCATCACCACATCTCTCGGTTTCTCTGCCAGTAACCCTCGTTCACATTTCCTCCTCTCCTTCCCTGAGGTCCTCGCTGTCAGTGGCAAGTCTCCCGTATGACTTATCATCCACCGCCCTTGAGTTTAACTGTATATGCCGTTTATTTGTAGAAAAGCCTTATGCAGCTGTTTTTCCTCATTTCTATGCCCTTCCCCCGGCAAATGTTTCCTACAATTGCCCTAAATACAAGCAAGTCCAATCTATATATATACAACTGTATTCTCTAGCAAAGAAACAAACCTATTTATGAAATAACCAAACTGGACTTCCGGGAGATCATGGCGGACAGATAACAGCAACTACCGGAGGCTCTCTGAAAAACTAGGCTCAGAAGCCAGGTATGGTGCGGACTAAATAGACATAAGCAGGTGGAGTTATGCTCTGTTGACTCAGGAACGAACTCGGCTGAGAGAAACCAACTTCGAATGCAGTCCTGGTGCTAAAACAGGAACAGAAAAGTCTCGCTGCTGAGGCTGGACCCTGCGCCATTGGAAGCCGCGATTTGGGTTTCCCGCCGCACGGTGGCTGGCTGCCTCTACACCGGCTCGGCAAGGAGAGAGACGCGCGGAAACTCTGAGAACGGGAGTCTGCGAACGGAGTTGAAAACAGGACGGGCAGGGAGGCATGTTCTGACTTGTGGCGAGGTGAGTGAGAGAAACTGACACTCCACCACAGTTTGACTCCAGCGGACTTTCTGGGCCCGAGCAGTCCTGCGGGAGCAGGGCGCGGTGGCGACTCCAGCGACACATTCCCCTCTCGGGCGGGATTGGTGAAAAGTGCCTGGCCTGCGTGACGCTGCCGGCGGACCCCGTAGGCTGGCCCAACCCAGATCCCAGAGCCTGACGTAGGCTGCCTGGTGCGCAGCAGTGAGTGGGAACACCTAACCGGCGCAATTCGATCAGGCTGTGGCTGACAGGGAGAGAAGTTGGGCCTCTCATATAAGCTTGCATATATAAGGAACAGAGAATATGGGAAGAGGCAGCAACAAGAAAGGCTCCTCGGCCCCCAATTCTGAGAAACAGGCAATAGCGGACACCGCACCAATACACATAAAGCACCATATAGAGAGCCTCATAGACCAATTCAGGAATGAAGTTATCAACGACCTGAAGCTAGAAGTATGCAAAATAGTTAGAGAAATGCTAAGCCCCACCCAAGAAAAAACAGATGGTGGAATGGAAGAACAGAAAAAGAGGGGAGAATTGTTTGATGGAGAAAACAGGGAAAGCATAGAATACGTGAAGCAGGTTCAAAGGGACTACCAAGAAACTAAGAAGTCTATCGAAGACTGGCATAACAGCTTGAAAGAAACTAAGGACAGACTATCTGAACTGGAGGGCAGAATTGTAATATGGGAGAATGAAATGAAAAACTTCTTAAAAATAACAAAGAAACAAACAGCAATAATACAAAGACAAGAAGATGATAACAGGATCCATAACTTAAGGATTAAGAACATAAAAGAAGAAGTAGGGACACAAACAAGTGAACTACAAAAGCTACTCACAGAAATAATCCAGGAGAATTTTCCTAATTTAGCAACAGGTAAAGATACTCAAATGTATGAGGCATACAGGACCCCAGCTACCTACAACCCTAACAGAGAAACACCCAGGCATATAATAATAAAAATTCCAGAAATTCAATACAAGAACAGAATATTAAAAGCTGTCAGAGACAAGAAACAGACTACTTACAAGGGAGCACCCATCAGAATTACAGTAGATTTCTCTACACAAACCATCAAATCACGAAGAGCGTGGGGGGAAATAATTCAAGCTTTGAAAGATAATAATCTCCAGCCAAGATTGAGATATCCTGCACAACTGTCCCTGGAAATTGATGGAAAAACAAGGTGCTTCCAGGATAAAGAGGAACTGGGGGAATTTGCAACCACCAATTCAACTCTACAGAGAGTATTGCAGGATATTCTAAAAAAAGAAAAATACAAAGAATCCAGAAATAGTGGAGGCCACAACGAATGGAGCAGAGAACAAAGTGAAGAAGACAAACTGACAGCTACTGACAGAATAAGAGCTCAACAGAAATGAGACAGAGAAGATTGGATGATAGGAAAAGCTATTTTGGAGAAAATGACATCTTAATAGGTAATACTGATTTAGTATCATCTTGTTGTGAAGTCTCATCTAGCTTTTGTCCTTCTGTCTCCAATGGTCTAAATAGGTTGTATCTTACTGGATTTTATTATGTACGATAGTATAAGCAAAAACCTTTTAAAGACAAGGAGATTATACAGAAACCATTATTCATTTTCTGTTAGTCGATTCTAAATACTCTGTAATGCTGTCATTCTCTTAAATGGTTTTACATTGTTTTGATATACTTAATGCTACAGTATATGAAGTTGTACTCAAGGACTTCAGGGAGGGAGTCAATATGGTAACTATTTTTGGGTCAGGATTATCTGGTGGTGAAACACTATTCTGCTTAAATGGTTATGTTTTGATCTGCCCTGTTTCGCTGTTATGCCCTTGTGGGAAGCCACCTGAGATGGCGCCCATTTCCTGCTTCCGGGTTCTTCCCGGCCTGAACAAGCCCGCCAAATTGTCATATCTGCCCAGTTACCCGTGACGCTAGCCTATCAGCTTGTTAGGCGCGCTTCTCTGTGATTGGATACTGCTTCCCCTTATAAGAGGTTGTTCCTGCCCCCAACGGCGGAAGAGGAACCAACGTTGAGGGTGGCGGACCTTGTTAGGTCCGGTTCGCTGTACGTAATAAAGTTTGAGAGCTGATCCTGCTCGAGTTTGGTCTCCTGTCTCCCGCGGCTCCGGTCATCTGGTGGCCGCCCGTACGGGGAAAAAGGTAAAAGACTCAGCGACGTGCCTCTTCGGCCGGGAGGTGCGATTGCTGTCGCCTGCGGTACGACGGAGGACCTGGCTCAATAACAACGGAAGGCCGCGAGCGCCTCTTCTCTTCACCCTGATCAGCTACGTGAGATACAGCGGTTCCCGGGACAGGTGAGTACTGGGTCACCTGGGTTGGGTGGACGCACCTAACAGATTTTGAGTGCCACACGAGTGGACGCTGGGTTTTTTTTTCTTTTCTTTTCCCTTTGCATCTGTTTTGCTTTCGCTTCGCTAATACAGCCCGACAGGCTTTTGATAGAGCTCGATCGGAATGCTCAGAGGAGCCCGGAGCCACTGCCGATTGTGGGTCTCCGGAGGACCCTCAGGGCTCTAATTCTGATTCTGATTCGGAAGGCTCAGAAGAGGAGGTCGTCTTTGCTAAGCATGACCCTCCTACACCGTTAAAAAAGGAACTTAGGGCTCGGGAAGATAAAAAGGGGAACCAAACACCCACGATCACCCCCTTCAGGGTGCCAGGCCCCACTAAGCCCTTCCGCCCTTTGGCAAGTTCGCGAATTCAGGGCTCGGGAAGATAGCACCGCCGTGGCCGGAAGAGGAGTTGCTCCCTGGGCTGCCACCACAACCTATGGCACCGCCCTGGTTAGAGGGAGAGCTACTTCCTGGGTTGCCTTCTGCGCCCCCATCTGGGGAGGGAGGAGGATGTTCCTTCCACCAGAGGGTATGGTCGCGGCTTCCCTTTGAGTGTTCCGGTCTCCATGCATTCCCGGTACAAGTAGGAGGCAGGGGAGGAGGAGGATATTATGAGCCCTTAGAAATTAAACAACTTAAAGCTATCAAGGACGCAGTTTCAGCTTATGGGCCCAATGCGCCATTTATCTCCCGAGCCTATCACCTCCTCTCAGGTATCACCATTAAAATTGGTCATCAGGCGCGATACTATCCTAAGTTTAAATGACAAGCTCATGCCGGAGGCCGAGACGGCACTACAAGCTGTGGAACGGGCCCTGACCACGGCTGCACTAAGGCGTATCAATCCAGAAAAGATCTTCGCCTTGTGCGTTCTCAAGACAGCTAGACAACCCACGGCTGTCATTTGGCAACAGGGACCCTTGCTTTGGGTCCATCCAAAAATGTCACCCGCTAAAGCTATTGATCATTATCCAGACTCGGTTGCTTCCCTGTCTTTAGAGGGCATCTCACGAGCCATACAACACTTTGGGGTGCCTCCTTCCTCCCTACATGTACCATACACAAGAGAACAAATTGAGACCTTAACAACGTGTCTAGATTCCTGGGCGATTCTCCGGTGTACGTTTCAAGGGACCATAGATAATCAATTCCCAAAAGACCCACTATTTCAGTTTATTACAGTACACCCTGTGATTTTTCCCAAGGTTACATCCGCATACCCCATAACTGGAGCTCCAATAATCTTCACGGATGGCTCCAAGTCAGGCATAGGCGCGTATGTGGTTACGGGTCAAGAGCCAAAAACTATCCAATTTACTCCAGACCAACCCCAGGTGGTCGAGCTCCAGATAATACAGGAGGTCTTACGTCACTTTCCAGGTGATGTTAACCTCCTGTCAGACTCCAAGTATGGAATAGAACCTCAAAAGTGTTCATCTCACATATCAGAGTCCATACTGATTTACCTGGGCCCTTGGCGGAGGGCAATGCCTTGGCAGACTCGGCCACGCGCCCGATATGGGTCTTCACCTTTCCCAACCCTCTGGAAGCAGCCCAAAAATTCCACTCTCAGTTCCATGTTAATGCCCGCACCCTCATGGCGCGCTTCAACATCACGAGAGCACAAGCACGAGAGATTGTACGGTATTGCCCAGCTTGTGTGATCTCTTCACCCCAACAATCTATTGGCATTAACCCAAGAGGACTTCGCCCAAATCATATTTGGCAAATGGATGTTACACACATCCCAGAATTCGGAAAACTTAAATATGTTCATGTTTCGGTAGATACCGCCTCCCAGGTTATGTTTGCCTCGGCAGAACCCGGAGAAAGGGCCACCCACGTTATTAATCATTGCCTGGCAGCCTGGGCTGCTTGGGGAAAGCCCAATATACTAAAAACAGACAATGGTCCTGCCTATACCAGCAAAATTTTTATGACATTTTGTCAACAAATGGAAGTCACTCTTAAACATGGCATTCCTTACAACCCCCAAGGACAAGGCATCATTGAGCGATCCCATCGGACACTCAAGGATGTCTTACAAAAACAAAAAATAGGCCATGGCCTAACGCCCAAAGGAAGAATATCATTGGCACTCTTTACCATAAATTTTCTCAATTTAAACCACAATAATCATTCCCCTGCCATGGAACATAGCAATCCGTCCCCAACCGATAAAGGGCTGGTTAGATGGAAAGATGTCCTTATGGATGGGCCCGGATCCAGTGATTAGCTGGACCCGAGGTGCGGTTTGTGTCTTCCCACAGGAACCAGGTCGCGAGCCGCTGTGGGTCCCGGAAAGATTGACGCGAGCAGTAAACTCCCCACCAGTTCCTGATAAAGCACAGGAGGATAAGCCCGCGGACACAAGTCAACTCGACCCTTCTGGGACCGACGCTCAGCGCCCGAGACCATCTACAAACTAAAATGTCTGGTTTGGAGCTTTTTCTATTCTGTGGGTTCCTATTAATCACCCCTGTGATATGCTCAGATTCCACAGAACCACCACAATATCTTTGGGGTCCTTGGCACCACCCGCCCACATTGGCACCTTTTTCGGTGGCCTCGCCCGCCTCACCCAGGGTTTACACCATCAATCAAACAGTCCTTGATTATGACCCACCCGCTTAACTCCGGTCGACCCTCCATTTCTCTTCCTTCTGTCCCACGATTACCTCTTTTTGGATCCTAATTGCCATGGCTATCCTAGTAGGGCTTGTGGTTATTAAATGCTTGTTAGATCGCCTCATACAAACTCAGCAGCAGGTTAAGATCACAGCTATGGCAGCCATGCAAATGGCAGCAGGTGGCCCATCAGGCCAGCAGGCCGCCGCATATCTCCTTCACATTGCAGAACATCAGCTATAAGAGCTGAGTGGGCAAGCCAATGACGGGTAAGACGGGAAAAGCCCTCCCGGTCAACCTAAGACAGGCTCCACTCAGATATACATGGCCTATAAGGCCAGGGGTCCCTTCTGGAGTCAAATTATTGGCATTGAGATGCGAGACCAAGGGTACTGCAGTGCCATCCGCCCCAAAGGTTGGGGGGAAGGCAGGAATGAATGTCTATATGCATCCAGGTACGGTTCACAAAAGCCTGGCCCTGCGAAAAAATGAACCACTCACCTTGAGCATGGTCCTGGCGCAAGGATATGCACAAAACAGGGTGATGCACAGCAGGGTATAGACCTCTACATTCTCTCATGCCTCGGCCTACAAGGTAGGCCCACTCCTAGGTGTCTAACAGCAACAAGGTCATAGACACCTTGGAGGGACCCACAGACCATCCTATTTTAATAAATAAAAAAGGGGGAGATGTGGGAAGCCACCTGAGATGGCGCCCATTTCCTGCTTCCGGGTTCTTCCCGGCCTGAACAAGCCCGCCAAATTGTCATATCTGCCCAGTTACCCGTGACGCTAGCCTATCAGCTTGTTAGGCGCGCTTCTCTGTGATTGGATACTGCTTCCCCTTATAAGAGGTTGTTCCTGCCCCCAACGGCGGAAGAGGAACCAACGTTGAGGGTGGCGGACCTTGTTAGGTCCGGTTCGCTGTACGTAATAAAGTTTGAGAGCTGATCCTGCTCGCCCTCTTTTTTCTCAATCTCCACTCCATTATTTACTTTTTTATTTTTATCCATTTAATTAAAGGGAAAAATATAGCAGGATATAATATAATAACCCACTTTGACTTTCTATTATCTTGATTTGAAGCCCTGTATTACTCTCACCATCTTGTTTTTGACTGAGGTTCCTCTATTCTGTTTTGCTGGATAGTATCAGGTTCGAAAGTTCAGGCATCAGCTGAGAAGATAATGAGATTCATTATAACGCCCATTCTCGTTGACTTTTATCTACTTTTGAAGACCTACAATGTCTCCAATGGTTTGGTTTTGTCGGTTTTGTTCTTTACTGTTTTGTTCAATTGTATTATAACTAATGGTATAGGCAATTCTATTAGAGATAGCGGGAGGCATTATGGTAACCATTGTTGATCACCTTGTATTATGTTTTTATATTATCTATTATGTCCACCCTTTTGACTTGACCGATTCTGTTCTGTTATGTCTCATTTGGCTTTACTCTCTTCCAAAAAAGCAATAAGAACCATGGGAGCAATGAAACCCAAAATGTGTAATAGTCATTGTACAAAAGAGAGGAAAAGAAAGTGCTCTAAACTATATAACTGCATGTATATTTAAGTGTATAAGATAGAATATGATATCACAGAGTTTTATTAGATCATTGAACAGAACTGTTTGCAGTATCATTGATGGAATGTCCACTTTACAAGCTTTAATTTTGTGACTTGAACAATTATTTCTAAGATGACAATATGTAATCCATTAACTAGTGATTTCTTACTGTTCATTTTTTTTCTGCAAATCTGTATAACTTGTACCCTTTCTCTGCTTTTTTTTCTTTTCTCCTTAAATAAAATTTTTTAAAAAAACAAACAAAAAAAAAAAGAAATAACCAAACTGAATCACTTATGTGTCTCCCAATGTGACAGATCTACGTAAATACATACACATGCACAGCCACCTAGAAAATCCGTTTACCTGTATCAAGTGGTAGCACTTAGCCCAACATACATTTTCCACCCCACTTTTCGCACATATTAAGATAGTTCTTATTCCTTTCAGACTATTTGCTATTTAGATATATTTGTAAATTTAAATTTTAAAATTTAGTATTTTAAGTAACTTTTAAAATTGGTATTTAGATCTACTTGTGGTAAGAAAAATGAAAATGAAAGAATGTCATGTAATAAGAGCATCACCAAAAATGTTGAATTTCTACAAAACTGCAGCAACCTAATATAAAAAATGCATTAGCTAGTTGCAGACATAGTTGATTTTAGGCAATTCAGCTTATGATTCACAGCAATATTTCAGAGGTTCCACCAAAATCAAAACCAAGGCAACATTACCAGTAGACTAAGGCTCCCCCAGGGTAACACCAAATGAGAGCGGCCGCTCCGGATCAGTGACCTGCCAAAGGAAAGGGACATCAGGATACATGGAAAGTGAGGGTGACCTGTGGCCCATCCCTTCCAACAGTGGTGGGGAAAAATGATTATAGGTGAGTCATACAACCCAACTGACAGGAAGGAAAGAAAGGCCCGGAAAGAGCAGGTCAGCACCCATAGCACCAGGGACAACACACTTCAGGATCTAATATGCTTTCCCAGGTTCAGAGACTCAGTAACCATCGCTAACAGAGTCCTAGAGAGAGTTAAGGAGAGACCGTCTTCAAGACACTCAATAACACTGCCACTAACTCCTTTTTATAACACTTAAAATTGTCACAATTAGAAACACAAATTGCTTCTTTGGGCCTTTACTTTTCTTGACAGTGCTTTCTTACGAAGCATTTCTACAATGCTTTGTTAAGAAAAATTAGATTAATATTTAATTTCCTGTCTTTTCATTCAAAATCTACCCATGTTAAACTTTTGTTTTATTCCTGAACTTTTGGTGTAAGTTATATTTACAGAGTGTTCAGAGCTTTCCACAGGATGCACAGACATTATCTGAGACATCTTGAAGACAGTCAAGTTACCAAGAACCCCTGCATTGGGCCAGGGATGTAGCTCAGCAGCGCAACACCTGCCGCAAGCACAAGGACCTAAGTTTGATTCGTGGCACCCAAAAGAGAGACAGAAAAAAAAAAAAAAAAAAAAGAACCACTTGATCATGATAGAAATGAGCAAAGCACAAAGAAATACTAGTATAATATTCTAAGTAACCCAAGACCCCAAAATTTTACCACACGCTCTTCTTAAACAGGAAAAATGCATATACGCCCTCATATAGTTGATACTGTGCACTCTTAGCCTTATTTGTAATTAATGCAGGTAATGATTTATAGCAAAACACTTCCCTATTTCCTTACATTCATCTTTTTGTACCTACAGATAAAATATTCTGTGGCTATTTCAGAAAGAACTTCAACAACACACAACTCCACAATCTCCACTACCCTATTCACAATTACTATTAGCCAGTGAGCACGTTTATGATAAAAAATACTTTCCCATTGATTTTTTGTTTTATGAGAGAAAGTCTCAATATATACTTCACACTGGTCTTAAAACTAAGTAGCCCAGGGCCAGGGATTTAGCTCAGTGGCGTAAGCACCTGCCTGGTAAGCTCATGATTGTGAGTTCGATCCCTGCTACCAAAAAATAAAAAATAAAAATAAGAAACTATGTAGACCAAGCTGACCTCAAGCTCGTGTCAACCCTCCTGCCTCAGTTCCCCAAGTGCTGGAATTACACACATGTGCCACCACGCCAGGCTATTTTTCCCACCTCTTACATTCTGTGTTTCTCATAGCTTTTTAGCTATAACAGGAACTCTTTATGCTTTGTAATGTTCTTCTTTAGATAGTTCTAAAACATTTTTGTCACCAATTAAAACATGACAGATGTTACTTACCCTATTCCTGTGCATCTCTTTTTTACTAAAAGGAAAGAAATAATGTACCTTTCTAATTATACTGGGTCAGTAAAAAGCTTAGTTTAGGTTCAAACTGAGGCCTTCATCCAATAATATGTCAGGGTGATTTTTTGCTATTTTCCAAATTGACAATGTATAAATCCAATTCCAAGTCCACACATTTGTTTACTATAAAATGATGTGGCTTTTGGGCTGGGGATTTAGCGCAGTGGCATAAGCACCTGCCTTGCAAGCAGGCAGTCGTGAGTTTGATCCCCAGTACCGATAAAAAGGAAAAAGACAAAAAAAAAAAAAAAAAAAGAAAGAAAAATGTGGCTTTCAACAATCTTTTCTCTTAAGAGTCCACTTCTTATCATTAGGGAGTTTTGTGTTCATTTACGTATTTCCAGTAAGTAACTTGCTTTGCCACCATCAGTATCTGAGGGTTCACATTTCTTCATAGTTTTAACAAAATCTTTCACTCTCCTGTGTTATTTTTGTGTGTTAGAACATGAGCTTTTATAATGTGTTTTGTAAGACATTTATGTTAATGAAATTCATCTGAATAAACTCTGTAAAGCCAGTGTATAAACCTACTCTAAAATAGAGATCCTTTCTGAAAAGCTACCAGTGTGCTTGAGTACTAAGCACAGAGAGCTAATCAGGAAATGAAAATATACCTACTGTCAGTACTGTTTAATTCAAACCCAAAACAAAAAAGAATGCAGATTCATTTTTAGAAAGATGGACTAAGATTTCCCCTTTCTTGAGTAAATAATAAAAGCTAAAATTTCTAAACCAAGAGCATTCTACCACTGAACTACACTCCCTGCCCTTTTCTAACGTTATATGGACACAGGATCATGCCCAATTGCCCAGCTCACCTCAAACTTAAAATCCTCCTGCCCTAGCCTCCCAGGAAGCTGGGATTATTCCAGTGGACCCCACCCCTGGTTTATTTCAAGCTTTAACCTCAGGGAAACAGACACAATTCAAGATACATTATACTTTAGCTAAATTCTTATCAACTAATGGTAAGCTTTTGGTCATAAGTGAAATTTTTGGTTTCTAAGTATAATGTCGCATATTGTAAGTAGCTGTGGGTGGCTTAATCCACTGAGTAGAAGGGAAAGAGAACGGCACCACACTCAGACGACCATTGTTTTAGTCCCTTTCCTATGGATGACCACTACCACTGGTTATTTAATAAACTCCAGGAACTAACTGCTCAGATCCTTAAAGTTATCAGTCTTAACGCATAAAACAAAATTTTAAAAAACAGAGGACAACACGTGGTGGTTTCATGTCACCTTTACATATGTGCGTACTCAATGAAAAGAGCCCAGTGCAGAAAACACATGCAAGAACATTAATCTCAGATTCTGGGGAGATACGAGAGTCAGGCACAAAAGCAAATGCCTCTACTGACTGCACTGAGATCACTGAAGCACGAGGGGCACAAGTTCAAGTCCTGCACGGGCCCCTTCACAAGACACTCGAAAAATTTTTAAAAGGTCTAGGACTGTAGTTCAGTAGTAGAGTAACTGGGTTTGATCTGCAGTACTGCAAAAAATAAAAAATAAATCATGTTGGGTACAGATGAACCATACAAACCAAGACTATTATATAATATACATTTGTTAACTTAAACCAAATAATTGAAATTACTTACATCATTTTCATATTTAATGTGAATGTCTGTGATTTTCACTTGTACATTTTTATTATTTGAGTTGCCAATTTTTCCAAAAATGTATCCTTTTTTGCTTCCTTAGGCTTATCTATTAAAAACAGAAAACACAAGCTCAAGCCGTGCCATTCTCACAGCACCATGTAACGGACGCCCGAAGGAGAGGTAGGGACAGCTCAGAGGAAATTACACCTGCCCTAGCGTCGTTACTTTTTCTCAGATTTAGTTTAGATTTTAATGTGATTTTCAACTTGAAATTCATACTTGAAATTAAATTAGAAGCTAACATTCATTTTACCTTCTGAGATAGATCAAGTGGCAATGTGTGTAAACAACACATGGCATAAAAACTACTTTTACCTACCTTTTGAGCGATCAAGACCTTTAAAACGTTTCTTAAAATGTTTTTTGTGCTTTTTACGCTTACGTCCTTCTCAGTGGAAGCATATTAGTGAGAAAAGGATAAAATTCAAGTTAGCAGACAAGAGGATAGAAAAGAAAATAAGAACATTCTTCCCAAAAGCAAATTTTGGTATGATTCAACTTACTCTAATCAATACAAACACAAATTCATAGACCTCCTTTAATTTACAATAACATTTCTAGTAAAGAATAACCTTCCTTAATCTAGAAAATAACCTAAAGGTACAATTATACAAAAATGGGATAAAATATTCACTTGCAACATCCTTTATACATTACTTATTACTTGACAAAAGTTCCCCTTCGATTTTAATACTACCAAAATATTGGAAATGTAATAATGACAGAACTTTCAGAGGAAGGTTTGGATAAATGTGTGGCAGGAACACAAGTGAAATGGGTGGGCAGGATGCCGACAGATGACTCCCCAGATGATCCGCCTCGCAAACAAAACCCATGAGTCAAGGATGCAAAGAACATGAGAGTGACAGGAAATGCTCACAGAACCATGCACTGAACTGCCTTAGTAATTCCCTTAAACCTCATCCTTTGTTACTTAGCAGTGACTCAGTGAACTCCGGAATTAACCGACACCCGCCTCTCCCAAGCCCAACTTCCAATCCTTCACCCCCAGCTGCCCGCTGGGCATCACCTCCAGTTCCAAATCTGAGGTGGCCTCCGCATGGCTGCCCTGCTTCCTGCCTACTGAAGGCCCTTCTTTCCACCCACCATGTAGATTTCTTCTGAATACTACCCACAGCCTGTTAAGCCCTTGTTCAAAATTAGTTAAAGGCTCTCTGACGCCTGCCAGATAAAATTAAATCATGTTTGCCTGACAAAAAAGAGCTCTTTTGTGATGTAACCTCAGACATCCCTGTCTGCTTCTATCTCCAGCCACTCATCTTCATAATGGAAACTTCAGGAATATTATTTGTAATTTCCAATACAAGCCGTACTTTACAAAGTCTACTGTGTAAAATATCATTCCCTAAAGCTGAATTGTCCTCCCAGAAATTACCTTCTAGCAAACTTCTAGGAGACCGGGAAACCTCAGGCTCAGCACCTCTGTCTGGGTGTAGCCTTACTTAACTCCTCTAAGTAATGTGGGGTCAAGTCTCACTTGGAATTCCAGCAAACACAGGGAATCCCAGCACTACACTGCATTCACGGTGTTTACACAAGTCCCTTGCCCTGAAGCAGGAGGTTTCCTCTGGCAGTCTGTTTGTTTTAGGGCAGGGTGTAAAATCTGGGCACTGTTAAAATGAATTCCAAAAAAACCCACATGTAAACATTATAACGAAACATATAAAGTCTATGTAACAAATTGACTTGTTGATTAATTGTATTGCTATTCATAGACTGCATGTTATACATACATTTGAGAGCATATACATGAAATTTAGCTTGAAATTTTACTTTGTTTTCTTGATATTTGTAAACTGTTACACTACTAAATTAAGAATCAACTTCAGTTTATAAGACTAAAATCCCAAGTTTCAAGGAGAAAATATCTACTAAAATATGTAACAGAATCTGGGTAGTACTAATAATAGTATTTCTAGTCACAGTGATAGTCTGGACTCTATTTCATTTATAAATTAAAAATACATGCCAGGCATGGTGTGATGCACCCCTATAATCTTAGCACTTGGGAGGCTAAAGCAGGAAAATGAAGGCCAAGTTCCAGGTTACCCTGGACAACATAACGAACTCAGGCCAGGTTAAACTACATAAGGAGATCCTGTCTCAAAAAACAAAATTAAATAAATAAATAAAAAGACTGAGTTCTCAAATACCATGTGAAAACAAACAAGTAAGACACTAGCTCTGAAAATCATTCTACCTGGCTAGAACAGCAGGGTCTCTTCTTGTCTGACCTGTCCTTGTTGTTCCAAGGTTGTTCCAGCCCCTTGTCACGTCTCTGAACTCCATGTTAGAGATGCCACATTACACTTCTCTGAACGGTTTCACAGCTGAGTACTACATAGTTCCTTAGAGAACATTTCTAACTAATCTGGTAAATAATAAATCTATTATTCTCAATCATGCTCTAAAGCAGTTTTCAAATATTTTGGTCTCAGGATCCTTTGACACACTTAAAACCTGAGGCTTTGAAAGAGTTTTTATCTTTTGTGGGTTGTAACTTACTGATATTAATTATGCTGGAAATCTAAAACAGAATTTTTGAAGTATTTTGATTAATTCACTAAAAAAATAAACTATTACATATATAATTACACAGACAGCATATAGTTAAGAAGACAAGCATATACTCCTAAACAAAAACTTGGAGTGAGAAAGAGTCACACGGTTACAACCCTTTTAACAGCTGGCTCACGACACAGCTGGATTCATGTGTCGCCTCTAATTCAATCTTTTGAGATACGTTGTTCTGACTGAAGGATATGGCAAAAACATCATTTCACTACAGATACGCAATGGGAAAGACAAATATTTTCATGACCTTTCCAAGTAATTATGAATACAACATTCCAAGTGGTAGTCTCTTAAAGGCAGTTGTCTCATGAAATCTAAAACATTATCAATGAACTTTTCACCAGCATTAAAATCAATTGGTTTGCTCTGCACTTTAACCTTTTAAATGATTTATTTCTATTCATTACTAGTGCATTTGGAAATGTTGCTTATCTGAACTGTGCAAACCTGTCCAATGTTGGGTCATTTCCTTATTTAATATCCAAAGTCCTATCTGTTACTATCACCAACAGTCTCATCAGAAAAGTCTTCTAAGTATTAAGAAATGTCAAGCTCAAAGTAGCAAGTGTAAGGTTTTCAAAACTCTTAAAGTATTCCTCAGTTACTTTGTTCCATCGAACAACTCCCAAATCTGAATAATGATAATCCGTCAATTATTTTTTCAGGTAAACATGATTTTCCATTTAAAAAAAGCAACCCAACTGCATGAACACTTTCTTCAGACCTACCCCTTAAGTACACTTGCTCTTTTGTTGCATATGACATTAAAGAGACATGTGATCAAAGTTGCAGTTTATTAAAATTGTAATTTTCCTACTTTAAGAAAAATGTTAATACTGAAAAGGCAAGGTGGTAAAGAACACAGCCACTACCAACGCAGCAGGGTGCCCTGCCTTGAACCATGAGCCAGCAATTTACTATCGCATTTGTGCCAACAGGGCAAATGTCTGACACTGTGCGAAATCAAGCAATATCTTAGCATGATTACGAAAATGCTTTTGACTCTGAAGAACCACTGTCCTAGAATCAGAAAAGAAAAAAAAAAAAAAAACCTGACACCAAAAGGGGAAAGAACATATGTTTGGAAACTGAAAAGAAATAATCATGAAGTACACAGGAATTCCTGGGTAAGTGAATGAAAATATCATCAACAAAATTAACTGTTCCCATTTCAGAATCATCAATATTCTGGATCTCATTTTTTATCCAAAGTAATGCACATTACAAAGGAAGAAGAAAACCAAATCCATTAGGTGTTCCTTTATAATGACTTCTCCACTGCTTTTAACAATAGCACCCAGGGATTTTGTGAGGTATCTCACTAGGCCACTAGTACTCATTTGTACGTTGGGGATGGGTCATACCTAGAAGGATTAAAAAATACAGCAGACTACAGAAAACCACAACCGAAGGTAGGCGGTGTCTTCCTGTGTCATGGCGTCAATTGCAAGGCCAGGGCACAAAAGGGAACACTAGATGTTTGCTACACCATTATTTTTTGCTTCTATTCGCTGTGGACTGCTTAGAAAGAACCTGGGAGACCTCCAAACTACACAATGTACCGGGGATCGAACCCACGACTGTCTGCTTGCAAGGCAGGTGCTTATGCCGCTGAGCTAAATCCCCAGCCCCAATAGTTGTCCTTTCAAACACGTATATCAAAATGAGATGAAGAGTTTTTCGAACATGGCGGACAGACAACAGCAACTACTGAAGGCTCTCTAAAGGCTCGGCTCAGAGGCCAGGAATGATGCGGACTAAGGAGATACGAACCAGTAGAGATATGCTCTGCTGACTCAGGAACGAACTGGGCTGAGAGAATCCAACTTAGAATACAGTCCTGGCGCTAAAATAGGAACAGAAAAATCTCGGTGTGGAGGCTTGACCCCGCGCCAGTGGAAACCGCGGTTTGGATTTCCCGCCGCCCGGCGGCTGGCTGCCTCCACAGCGGCTCGGCAAGGAGAGACGCGCAGAAGCTCGGGAATGGGAGTCTGCGAACGGAGTCGGAAACAGGACGGACAAGGAGGAAAACTGACTGGTGGCGAGGTGAGCGAGAAACTGACTCCCTACCACAGTTTAACTCCAGCGGAGGTTTTTCTGGGCTCGGGCAGTCCTGTAAGAGCAGGGCGCGGTGGCAAGTGCAGCCGCACATTCCCCTCTCGGACGGGATTGGTGAAAGGTGCCTGGCCTGAGTGACGCTGCTGGCGGACTCCCTAGGCTGGCCTAACCCAGATCCCAGAGCCTGACGGTGGCCCGGAGGAGCGACCGACTCCTGCGTAGGCTGCCTCCTCCGCGACTCCCTGGTACGCAGCGGTGGGCGCGAACAACTAGCCAACGCAATTTGATCAGGCTGTGGCTGACAGGCAGGGAAGCCGGGCCTCCTGTGTAAGATTGCATTTTATAAGGAACAGAAAATATGGGGAAGGGAAGCAACAAAAAAGGCTCCTCGGC